ATAGGCTCATAAAGATCTTCCCCCGGAAAAAATCAGATTAGAAACTTTCGTAGAATTTCAGTTGTTTTTCTATTTGCTTTTTCCAGACGACGAAAACGCACACATGAAATAAAACTCTACTCCGCTTCGGTCGATTCTTAACCGTAATAATATTAATTCACAAACAAATTATTTTAATTTCTGTTTCCTCTTGTCACAGTAAAATTCCAATGTTAATCAAGAAACAATTACATTAACGAAAAAATAGACAAATAACATTGAAAACTCACTGCTTACTTTTATCCTTTTCACCAGAATCTAAAGAAATAACTTTCATTTCTCAATGCTCCTGCCATCAAACAAAATTCCACAATAAAGAAAACAATAATTGATCACGTCACATTATCAACATTAATCAACGTTAGCGCTTTTAGTTGTTCATCAAATCATCCGAAGAGATCATACATGATTTTCAGCAGACATTGCCGATGGAACATCTGTCGTTAGTGATAAAGGGGCCGTCGACGATCAACAAGAATCGGTTCCGGACGTATTCCGGTCGATCGAGCGGTCGCGTCGAGCTCTCGGGATCTCGAGGATCGGGACCAGAAATTCCAAGGGGCCCCCGAGGGCCGTCGACGAGATAAATCATGACCGCCCCGACGCGGCGCGGCGTGGCGCGGCAACTCCTCGCCTACCCTTTTTAGCTCTCTTTCAAGACCGTTTCTGTCCACGTGTCCGCGCGTGCTCGCCCGTAAAACCCTCCGCCGCCCGCGTTTCGCCCTCCGCGCAACACACGCCGATCGACGGACGTGTGCACGACCAACGGACTGTGAAGAGGTACTTACGCGGGCCCGCGGTACTTGTTGATTTATTGGTACACCCGCGGCACTGCTTCACCCCCGACGATCGGAAACTAACTGGATTCTGCCTGCTACGTTCTTACCTTCGATGCTCGTTTTCCTTTCGCTTCAGAGGGGTTATTTACTCGAGATCTGGTTCGAGTCAGGTTTTCCGCGAGGTGGCAATTCGAAGAGATTCGATGGCTTTTAGAGAGGTCAAAGGAGGTTCATTGAAACATATGCAGGTTCAAAATTGATATATTTTGTGTTTTCAAAGAGAGTTAAATCACTGCAAAGGTGTAAAAACCTTTAATTGTTTTTCGTTGGTGCTAACTTCGATCGAATGATGTTCCTGTAATAACTTTCTTTATTTCCTTGGAATAAGGAAACTTGATGGCAGATTTTCAAGTGAACAATAGAGACAACTAAAGGACCTGACCCTTTGTGATCCACTCTCGAAACGAAGCTCGACATTCGATTTTATTCCAGCAGCTAAGTGTTTGGCCTTATTCCAATTAATTACGAGAACTATCCATCAAACTACAGATAAATTAACACAGACACTAAGAACGCTTCAACCCACGAAGGGTTAATAACCAAGAAAACCGTTCGCGACCGAGAAATACCCAGACGACGAAGGTAAGCGTCTCGGAAGAGAACCGTGCACGCTTCTATGACAACGCGGCCCCCGATCACGATGCGTAATAGCGTTCCAGCAGTACGTGACGAGTGTCTCTAAACCGCGCACAGCCGGCCGCTGAGTCCGCTCGAAAAGCGAACCGATAAAACGATCCCCCCCTTCCGCGCGGCTTCGATCACGAGTGCCGCGGGTCCCCGAGCACGTATTACGTAACCAGTCCACGGTCCTCGCATTCCGAGACGGAACGTTCTAATTGATTGAAATTCATCCTGCCTCTAATTAGATGCGCCTGGCCCCGGCTCAGGGGGAGGCGTCGGGATACGGGGTGCCAGGCTCGGTTCCGTGCGAGAAAACGGCTACGAATGCACGCGAACAACCCGAACCGCTCCGGGTTCTGCGTGGTCGTCGTGGCTGCGGTTGTGCCTCGGTACGTGCGAGCCCCGCGATCCTAGGATCCGATAACGATCCCCCCTTGAACCCCTCGGTGAGCCCCCACGGCCGAGTCAAACGATCCCTCACGCGTTCGTCCGTGCCCTCCTCTCCCTCAACCTCATCGCGAAACGAACCGCTCTCCTCGTTCGTTCCTTTCTTTTGCCTGGAGAGCTAGAGCTAGCCTCTTTCCTTCGTCCTCTTTTCTACTTCTTCTTGTTCGTGCTCTTCTTTATTGAATTTTTGTGATATCATTTGTCTTAGATCCAAAATGTCTTATCGTTTTTCTGTGAGACTGTTTCTTTTTGGTTTCTTGCCTAAGCTCGGAGATTTCTATCTGTTACTGTGAAATTTCTTTTTTTCGCTCTTTGAATCTTTCCAGCCCTTAGAGTGACTCTTTCTGTAGTTTTCATAGGTGTTGTTCTTGTGTTCCTTCCTCATTGCTGTAACTCCTTCCACGTTCATTCGCAGCTTCTTTATTCCTTCACGCTGGTGTACTTATAATTCATCGTTTTGTGAAGCATTTGATATTGTTTCTTGTAATCGCAAAGTTTTCCTTGTTATTCTACATCCTCTTAGTTCCTCCACTTAGTTTCTCCTCTATTCCTCCGCAATGCCTTCGTTACTTTCCTCCTTTCAAGCAGTTCCCTTTATCCACATATTCTTCACAATCTTACTCTGTGCATGTCTCTACACCTAATCTCTAACCCTGTCCCGTCACCCTTTCCTCTAATTCCAACATTCAGCCGCTACCAAAACTCCTCTCATTTCCTCCATAATTTCTTCCTGGTCGCTTAACAGTTCCTTATTTCTGCCGATCCCGCCGCTTCCTCGTCCCTTCCTTCATCGTCCCGACATTCTGTTCTCCTTCCATCCCCCTTCATCGCTCAAGGTGTCTCCCGATACCCCCCTCTGCCCGCCGGTGCGGCGAGTCGCCTCGACACCCTCGTAGAGTCTCCCACTGCCACCGGCTATCCTCGTCCCTCCGCGTGCGGCTCGTTCATTCCGTTCGAAACGAGGGTCGTACCGTGAAGTTCCACTCCCGGTCCGGCCGGTTCCCTCCTTCGAGGCCTTGCCGGAGCCTCTATCCTTCTCCGTCCGCAGCCCCGTACGGAACGGCCTCCAGACAGAGAAGCTAACTCTCCCACCGCGAGCGTCGCGCTGCCACGGGTGAACTCCATCCACCGGATTGGATTTTTTGCAACCTGTTTTTCCCTTCGTCGGCTTACCCGCGACTCCACGGAGACGTCCCTTTTTGTCCTGTGAGGAGAAGGCTTTACTTCGGTTCCGGATTGTTCCTCTTGCTCGCTGAGGGAGGCCGTCGCGACTTACAGGACTCGCAGCAGCGTTCTTTGCATTTTAATTCTGAATGTACTTATATATGTACATGGCCATTTTTTATACCGTTCGCTCTAGTATTGTTGGCTACTTATAGCGTATGGTTAATTGATTTTTTCGATGTGTTTGTAGATTACTGTACGATAGTTTCAGAGGTAATAACGGGAGTCTAGATATTAGGTATAATAAATAATGTAACTAATCTACTGGTTCATTTTTGGAACCTATTGTTTTAGGCCCTTTGGGTACTTTTAGCGTGTGGTTAATCGATTCTCTCAATGTATTCATAGATTATTGAACTCTGGTTTCAGTGGGATGGATTGTTTCCCTGATTTTGTATTTGGAAACTTTGAATTCTCACTGAAAATAAATGGTTATTTTATTCTTCCTCGTCTTAGTGCGCGTTCTCTGCAACTGTTTGCAATTCTACGTCAAGCTAGACTGGGTGCTCCGATAGATATTGGATATTGGAACTTGATATTCCGATGGCTGCGTACTGTACCAATTGACGTTACATTTATTCGTAACGTTTACTACAGTTACAAATATAACTTTAGATCTTCTGAACAACGTAACACGTTAAGCTATAGTTAAACAACATAGTTGGCTGTTTAAATACAATGATCTGAGGAAAAGAATCAATTTTCCTTGCATCCATTCCCAATCTTAAACCGATATTACATGAAAATGCAACATCAACGCTTCCGAACCATTCAATTTACAATTGAAGTAACGTTGGCACAAGTTCAAGCAATAAACAGACTAAAATCCCTATGAACGGCAAGAGAGTCTACACATCCTCATACTCTCTATGATCTTTTTCTCGTAAATTCTTTTTCTGAAATCGAGAAACGGTGTCGGCAACGCCACGGTGTCTAGCGCTAAGTGTCTTAGGGTCGAAAAGTAACGCGTGTGCACGCGATGCCTCGCGACGGAATACGCACGCGTGTCTCCACGGGCGACGCGGTTGATCCCGCCGTGGAGGCCTGGTGCGTGCCGTTCCACGGCCCCGTGTGTGTACGTGTCGCGCGTACGTGACGATTCCCGCGGCGGACCGTACCGACGCGCGGCCGCACGACAGCTCAAAAATGCTCCCTCTCTCTCTCTCTCTCTCCCTCTCTCCCTTTTTCTTTCCCTTCCTCCGTTTCACCCGGCCCTGCCGGGATCCGGCCGGGTTTATGAATAATAAAAAGCGCAGCGGGCATGTATTTTCGGAACGCGTGTTTTCGCCCGGCCCACGAGCGGATCCAGCTCGTGAAAACACGCCGCATACCGCTTGTTCGCGGAATTGTCCTGCTACCAAAATCACCACCGGGACTCGAAAACTCTTCTACCGTCCTGCGTAAAGAGAGAAACACGATTCTGGTACGGTCCATTCCCTTATGGGACCGTTTCACTTGTCGTTCTTGTTGGGAGCGTCTTCCAGCGAGCATTTATCGAGACCCCCATGAATGATACGCTTGAGCCCGTTATCCCTTCCCTGCGATATCGTGTTAGACTCGAAAGTGACTTTGGAAAATATGAATGTTACTTACTTTAATGAATGTAAATTAAATGTTAGTTTTTTATCCATCGTTAACCTTTGGACAACGTAGACATAGTAGATGTTACAAATTCTTTTCTTTTTAATAACTTTGATAAAATTGCTTGTATTTCTTATATTGATTATTTCCATCAATTATCAATAATATAGAGGAAACCGTTATAATTGTCACAAACATAGTGCTTCGTTGTTGGACATTAAAATAAAGATATTTGTAAAACCTTCTTACCAATGTGATATACCTCGATCGTTTTGTAGGCTTCGAATTTCGCAATATCTCCAGTCAACGGCAAATGGCAGAAAAATCCTGTTCCAAACGTTTCTACCTACATCTTTCCGGTAGTATCTTCCTTCTCGCTCGCTCGCGTCCACACAGGTACTCCCTGGTGCACTCGTGGTGGCCGCCACCGAGAACGACGGCCAGAGATTTATGTTCTCCGCCATGTTGACCCGTCCGACGCCCTTTCCTCGCTCGACTTTACGAGTCTTTAACCCCTTCGGCCGTCGTGTTCTTCCGTCATGAAGCCTTGTCGCCTTTCCACTGCATTATAGAACGCATCTTGCACTGTGAATCATCATCAAAATCATCGTTAATTCAGCGATCATTTACCATTATCATTATTGCAAGCGTATTCACGCGAATTGTCAAATTTATTAAAATTTTAATAAAAACCGGAATTATATAAAATAAATGTATTATCGAGTAAGAAATTCGGAGGTTGAATTGAAATTAAAATGAAAAGGTTATCAACCTCTTGCTTTGTAGCTTATTTCGTGAAGCTCGCAAAGATTATATTACTGTTAATTATTTGCTAACGGAGGAATGGAATTGAACATGAATTTTACAAAACTACAGGTTCATAATCAGTAATATCAAACGTTCGATAATTTTGTTTCGCCATGACACGACACGATTTCGTTCTTCATGAATAAACTACATCACCGCTCCTCTGAGAAACTGTTAATTCTTGAAAGGATGAAATGAGAGAGACGGAATGTTCTCATTAACTGACGTGACAATTGTGGATCAAACGATCGGACTTTGATCAATGTGTACTGATTAATTGACGAATTTTATTTGTGACGATTGTAAGAATAGGTTTAGAAGAATCTATAATAATATCTCTGTTTCTTTTTCATTTTCGAAGCGTTTTAGTGAATGTAACAAACGATTGCTTGGTTAAGAAAAATGATTCGATTGAGAAGTTAAAGGTTTTCAGATGGTTTAATATCCATCCGAGATTAAAATAAAGGAAAATTGATCAGAATGAAATATAAAGTGCCTCTGAAGTCTAAAATGAACAAAGTTCAATTTTATAAAGAGAAGATTTCGCAGTAGAGTCGATGACACTGGATTTGCGACGCACGGATCGATCGAAGTACCGTTTCTAGAACCGATAGTCGATGAACTCGAACAATGTGATTTATCGTTCGCGAACTGCTGCTCGCCTTTTTCCCGTAATTGACGGTCAATTATACCGAGCGATAGATAGACTTCCATCGTTAATGAAAAATTAATGGAATTAATAATCCGTCCTCCTATTCTATTTTCGTGCCTACGTGTCACTCGGAAGTTCACTTACAAAAGAACGAAACAAGAATCCATCCTAAAAAATTAAAAGAAATTTATTTGTTCAATGTTTCCTTTACTAAAGTTGGTGATAATTATCAAATTTGAACGTTAAAAAACAAAATCTTAGATAAGTTACAATGATTATTCAAAACATATATCTACAAACCTTGAATTCGATAAAACAATTGTAGCACCACCTGCAGAATTAAGTTTTAACCACAAAGGTAATAACATAATCGCGTTATTAACCAAAAGGTTTAACAACAGAAGCACTCTTTAAATATTTAAAATGAAAAAGTAACTCACACCCTTTGACTTTTAAACCCTCCGATCGTCCTACTAACATACCCCAAACAAAATCCACAAGACAAAAACAAGAAACCTCCAAAAAACTCCAAAACAAAAGATCATCCCACTGATCCAAGAATGACATACAAAAGGAGTAAGTCAAGAAAATCGTTGGCGGGGGGTAAGAAACAACCGCGTCTCGTCAGAAATCGGGAAGTCACGTCA